ACTAAGAAAGTAGATCAGACAGCTGCAGATGATCCAGACGGTGCTGCCTGCATCCTCACTAGAACTAAGAAAGTAGATCAGACAGCTGCAGATGATCCAGACGGTGCTGCCTGCATCCTCACTAGAACTAAGAAAGTAGATCAGACACCTGCAGCTGATCCAGAACGCTGCTGCCTGCATCCTCACTAGAACTAAGAATAAAAATCAGACAGCTGCAGCTGATCCAAATGAACCAGACGCTGCTGCTTGCATCCTTACTAGAACTAAGAAAGTAGATCAGACAGCTACAGATGATCCAAATGCTGCTGCCTGCGTCCTCACTAGAACTAAGAAAGTAGATCAGATAGCTGCAGCCGATCCAGATGCTGCTGCCTGCGTCCTCACTAGAACTAAGAAAGTAGATCAGATAGCTAAAGCTGATCCAGATGCTGCTGCTTGCATCCTCACTAGAACTACGTAGAGAACATTAGCCAGGTTCTGAAGTCCTTCCTTCATAATCTTTAAAATTCTTCTGTCATGCCAGACTATTTGTCAGTGGACTGATCACTCAGACCTTTCAGGTCTACTAGCTCTAATCTACTCTGCAGAACCAGAACCAAACATGAAGCAACATCTTTTAGTTCTTATGCTACACTAATCTGGAACAAAGCATACAAGTTCGAAACAAGTTCGAGAAATTTACAACAAAATTGAGAAAATGTTGCATGTGGCCCAATAGGCATACATTCAAGACAATTCAAAGCTCTGAGAAGCCTGGAAAACAGAAGACAAAACTATGACAAAGTGAGCCGAAAAAAACATCCTGTAAGCTGCATTTTTCTTCATAGAGACTAACTCTGCTCATAACTGGTTAATTATGTTCATAAATAGGCCAATATCTAAAAAAAATTCTAAATATCTAACCTGCCTTTGCTCTGAACTGCTCCAATAAGACAAACTTATTCTAATGAAAAACCACCATGAATGCAATATTCCCAACAATGAAGCAATGGGAAAACTGAATCATGCGGTGTGGATTGGGACAGGAGCTAAATACAGACCAATACTGGAAAGCTGCTTCCACAAACTTTTAAAACTGTCATATTTGGGACTAAATACAAGCTACTCTTAATCAGACTCCTCAACATAACTGAAACCCCGGTTAGAACAGCGGCTGCTAAGCCTGGGCCCTGAGCTGAATATTAAGGAGACACATTTACTGTCTGTAATCTGAGGCTGGAGGAAGTCATGTTCCTTGCTGCTTCACAGGGATTTTATGACATAACAGAAAATCTGTTGGATATCTGCTTTACAACAGGGAGGGTGTCTTAATGCTGGAGGTCGGCTGCTGGCGGATTCACCCAGAAGAAAGATTTTCACACCTTATTTACTGTAAGAACGGATTTACGGCTGTGCTTTGCTCTTTCATACCTGAAACTCACAGTTCCTTGACTTTTTACTTTGTGTTTGAATTTCTGCCAGTCAGTAAAACCCAGTGTGCCTCTGCAAGGTTTCCATTAAAAACTCCCAGTTTGTACCTTTTTTGCGTGCCGTGTCTTCAGGGTCCAGATTCCGGCTCACAGTCACCACTTTGATCAGGAGCCGGTTTCCTCCCTGGCGGATCATGTTGACCACCTGCCTGTGGCCCACCTTCACCACATTCTCCTGGTTCACCTGTGACAGGGACAAATAAAACAATCGTCATTAGGGATTTAAAATGTTCAAACGGGTTTCTAAAATTTCCTTCTTTCACCTGTGGAATATTTCAACAATTAGAAATATCCTGTCTAGAGGTGATGCTGAGAAACTAGTCCATTCATTTGTTACTTCAAGGCTGGACTATTGTAATTCTTTACTATCAGGAAGTCCACAAACTGTAGTTAAAAGCCTTCAGCTGATCCAAAATGCTGCAGCCAGAGTTCTGATGAAAATGAAAAAGAGATCATATCTCTCCTATCCTGGCTTCTCTTCATTGGCTTCCTGTTAAATCCAGAATAGAATTTAAAATCCTCCTTCTCACATATAAAGCCTTAAATGGCCAAGCTCCATCTGATATCAGAGATCTGATTGTTCCTTATGTTCCTAACAGAGCACTTCGCTCTCAATCTGCAGGTTTACTAGTGGTTCCTAAAATTTCTAAAAGTAGAATGGGAGGCAGATCTTTTAGTTATCAGGCTCCTCTCCTGTGGAACCAACTACCAGTTTTAGTCCGTGAGGCAGACACCCTGTCTACTTTTAAGGCTAGGCTTAAAACTTTCCTTTTTGATAAAGCTTATAGTTAGAGTGGCTCAGGTTATCCTGAGCTATCTCTATAGTTATGCTGCTATAGGCTTAGACTTTTGGAGGACATAGGGACCCTTTTTTCATCATTCTGCTTGATTCTATCTCTATTCTCCCACTGCAGAATCTGTTAGTTCAATCTCTAACGTTCTGCTCTCTCATATTTTTCTCATAGTAGCTTCATCTGGTCTGTTCCTGTTTGGCTGTGACTTCATCCTGGAGAGAAATATCATCTGTGCTGCTGCCATCAACACCTTTGTTTCTAGATGATAGAATTGTTTTTTTTTTTTTTTGCTTCTTTTAGTGTTTGGTCCGGTTTCTCTCCTAGACATAAAAATTTACTCAGCTTTTACTGTGACCAACTGGATGTGCTCTCATTCATTCCATATACATGGAAGCTGGCTTATACCTCATCTGCTTCTTTCTTTTTTAAACAGAGCCACCTGTCTGCTGGAGGCATCTTCCCGTTTAAAGGGCTTTTTCCTCTCTTCCTTTCTTCCTCTGCATATTGTCGTTTTTATGCAATTTCTGTAACGTTAACAATGCAAGCAAATGTCTATTGTGCCACTTACTCATCCAGGAGGTCAGAATCCTGCAAAGTCAGTGAGTTCATGGAATTTGCTGGTTTTCCTTAAAAAACCTTAAACCAATCTAACTGGATGATCTGGTTGAAGCTTATCTTTAACCTGAGGTGAATTTGTGCTACATAAATAAAAATGGATCAGTGAATCAGATTTTTTTCAACTTTCATCACGTTTTGGTTTTGTGGAAAAGCTGCAGACACTGAGATGTCAAGAATAAAAAATAAAAATAATCATCAGTGTAAAAATTGAAAGCAGGAGCTTGACCAGTTTGCTGATTTACAACATAGAGCTGTAGGATCCAGCAGGAGACTAATAACCATATCTAAAACAGCATTAAAGAGTAATGGGAGGCTGTATTTAAGGTGGCATGAAGAAATGAAAAAACAGGCTTAACTCAGATGCAAAGGGAAGTTGGGTTGAGGTCATCCTGCAACATTTACAATGAATCTGGAAATAATTTATTGTTTGGAGAGAAAAAAAATCAACCTTAGAATCACTACTTCATATTTTTATTTCTACTCAAAATAATAAAAACCATGCATGGCTTCTCCTGTGAGCCTAATGTATTTTGAGGCGATTGGGAAACACCAGAGTGTTTTTGACACAGCAATAGCTGCAGAGAGCCGACAGCTCAGGGACCAGAACAGAAACCTGTCAGCAGATTGAGGGAAGCATCCCAGAACCTGCTGCAGTTTCCAATCATTCCCCAGACTCCTCAGGAATCATTTCTCATCTAGAAGCAGCGTGCACCAAGCTGCCCCCCCATAGCTTTACCTTGGCTGATAATAAAAGTGGAATCCTGTTTCCACACTCACCCTCCCAGCTGAGGAAACTTTTATTAGTTCAGTCTTTGTTTGGTCTTTCAAAGGACATTTCATCCTCGTGTCATGCAGACGACACAGTCTTTCAACCAGCGGTGTCGTCCAGAAACCTAAAAGCTTTCATTAAATCTCAGCCAGAGAAATGCAAATATAAGTGCTTCTGCTGTCCTCATCAGTGCAGATTTCAGAATTTAGAAAAAGTGAACTGGAGACTTAGTCAGGGCTGCAAAACCCACAGAAGTCAGTATTAAATAACCAGGAGACATGACAACAGATTTTGATAGAATTTGTAATCTTCAGGGTTCCTACAGCATAACGCAAGTTAAATTCAAGACTTTTTAAGACTTTTTAATGCCACTTGAAATAAAAATTTAAGACCAAATTCACAAGAAACACAAGAAAAACCTGCTTGCGACAACTCAAAGGTTTATTTTAACATAAACCACTGCACTAATGTTTCAAATTTTGAAAAGCTTCCCATACAGGAAGAAAGCTAAAAACACACAAATGACAGATATATTTTAACAATTATTTAACTGAATTCACAAACTAGCAGGGAACAAAACAAATCAGTTTTAAAGCCACAACATAACCAGTGC